TACACGATATCGGCCTCGCTCCATGGGGTGTCGTAGTCTGATTGTCGACCAAGCACGTACCGAAAGATGGTACGCTCTTGCCTCCAATCATACGTACATTTCGACGGCAGGACACCCGGCTTCATAGCTGCATATGGTCCGTCTGTTCGTTGTAGCAAGTTCTGCAATAAAAAAAACCCCCACAAACGTCATTCACGAATCGAAGTAATATCGTTCGTTACATGGGTGAAAGGTAAGCCGAACTTACGGATAGAAGTACGTCGCCTATTGCGAATCGCACGCGCAATAGATGTTTACACTTCTCAACCTTCCTCGCCGTTAACATCATGAACGAGTCGATATACTGCATGTGACATTATAAAAAGTATAAGTCTATAATTAAAAACAACTTTGCTGCTTCTAAACTTCACTAACCTTGTCGTCGAGTTGAAACTCAGGATCCAGGAGCAGGCCAAACCAACTCTTATATTTGATCCCGACGGACGTTGAACGGGAATTGCCGTCGGTTGATGGGTCGTCCATCCATTTCTGAAACCCCTCGTCCAGAAGCGGTGGGATGGGGCATGTAGGGTCGTACGCTTGAACTTTGATACCACGTTGGCCGGTCGGCGTGCATATGGCCCACAACTTCCACGAATATTTCCTCTTCCAAAGACCCTGGCCAAGTGGGCCTTCAATAAACTCAAGTTCAACCTGTAACAAGTATAAAAGAAGTTCAATACAAGACTTAATGATGTTGGAGTTGGAGTTGGACGTTGGAGTTACCTTAACAACGGTCATGTGTGGAGTTCTTCTATGTGATAAGGGTAGGGGTCGACCTTCTGTCCTATCAATTTGCTTTCTCGGTGGCACCTGCGGATTGCGGTGTTGGTACGTTAACCATCTGCCCCTTACTTGCCTCCCCGTCACTGGCGCACTTACCTAGAGTAAGATCCTAAAAATGGACGAACATTTGCTTTAAGTAAATAAAGTTAGGTTAACGTAAAAAAGTTAGTATCGTTACAGAAATACCTCAATTACGTCGGCCGGACTAGGGTGGCCACTTGGGACCTCCTGGGTAGCTCCAACAATGGTAGGAGCGTGATCTATCTCCACGTCACTCTCGGTGACGTCGGCGGGTTCTTCACAATTCTTCGGATCCTCGTCCATCATCGGCTCGTCCCCTGTCTTCGGCTCTTTCCCAGTCTTTGGATCCTCCTCGTTACGCCCACTCGGATCACGTCCGCCTGAAGAACCATCCTAATCCGGCCCACCGCCCCTTCTATCATATTTATTCTGGCCCTTCGACATAACCTACGTAATAAAAATTATAAATATACGGATGCGAACAAGAAATTCAGATAATACAATAACCCTTACCTTTGTTAGCCTCTTCATAAACTTCTTTATGTCCTTTATGTCAGTCGTCATGCCCGTCAGAGTTGTCCCAATGGCTGTCACTCTGTCGCCGAGCCTCCGCAGCTCCCGACTCCACTTATGCTTTGACTTCTTCTTCTTCTTCTTCGTCCCTTTCTGTGGCAACAATTGATCTTGTCCTTCATCGATCCCAATAATATCGTCTGTTACATGATCAACCACTGGGGAAGCATCCTTTGCTACATCATCGAGCTCAACTGGATCCCCAACCTCACCAGTAACGAGAGACTTCTGAGTGGTGGAAGTAGTAGACAGTGGTTCTGTAGCAAGTTTTGTGGGTGCAGGAGGTCCGACAGGGGTCACTGGTGGATGCATAACACGAGCCATGTGCTGTCGTTCGACATCAGTCGCCTCCAAACGAACTACAACCTTCGACTGTATAACACAAATAGTTAGGTCAATTTTAATATTAAATACTAAAAACAATAAGAACATGTTGTACTCACCTTGACGTTCTCGAAGACCTCTCGCTCCAAAACATTAAAAGCACGCGAATAGGTGCAGGACCATCTAAGTAGACGAGGAATAGCATCGTCATTCAGCCTCAATGCTACTCGAGTCGACAAGGTTGATATTGTCTCGTATGCCCAAACCTGCAGTCACGTCAAGTTAGACTCTACGGTATTTCACAGGTACATAAATATATAATAAATTACATTTAAATTTCACTAACCTGAAAAGCGTATGGAAACCCATACAAGCTATACGTCTCAACATGGATCGAGTCCATAGCGACCTTCTGTTTGTACGCCTAGACCTTGTCCTTCAGAGCGTTCTTCAAGCTCCAGAGAGTCCTTTCAAAAATCATTGAACTCCAGTCATAATTACAGAAAACTTCCCACTGATCCACAATCCCAAGGAGGCTCGTGTCCATTTTCTGCTTCCTTTCCTTGCCCATCATGGCAAGCTCTATGAAGTACACTATAGCAAYCTTCACAGYGTCCTYGTCATTTTCGAATGTGTGTTCTAAAAAAWTTTTCTCCAACTCCGAACACTTCACACTCGCCTTGTCTTSAAAATACAGAATYCTAAGTCYYCGGTTACGAACATCCTCATCTACCMTATTCATGGTGTGTCTAAGACCGGTTATTAGGTCGAACTCCCGCTTCCCAAAAGAGACCCTATTCCCGAATAGGTTAAARCTAATGAGGTCSTCTCTAGGTTCYTCCACCTCTCTAAGCAACAGGTGATGGAGCAACGRACCGTTAAATACAACRTTCATCCCTAAAATCGGACCAAAACATGTTTGACTAAACATGTCTAACTGAGAGGGAGTTAACCTAGCCTTAAGACGAGAAGAGGTTTTCCCTACGTGAGCGAGATTTGACAGCGCGGCCGGGAACCAGTCGTCTTGGTTGATCTTAAGTGTCATATTCATGTCTCCTGTAACGAAACAAAACAATATTGCTTAGAAACGGACCGGGTTGAAGCCTGGGATGGAATCCAGAAAGTCGAAGTACAAGATATGGA